TTGTATGTTCCAATTTATTTTAACTCAATATAAAACGTCTTTATTGTATATTCTAGTTTCTAAATCTATGATTCAGTGCACAATGTTTTGGCCAGTTTCCTTAAACTTCGTGCGAGTGTTGGGTTTTACATGCTAAATATGAGAAGGCGAACCTTACATAGCAGTGTGTAATAGTGTCCAGCTTTGGTACTTCATGCATTAGATGAGTTAGATGTCATATCAATTTTATCAATTATTTCCATTCATGTAAGTGAATATTTAAATTTTGAAGTCAAATAAATAAAACATGCCTAATTTATGAAAAGTAACATGGAAGAACCCCAAATGCAAATCTTATCAGTTCTGACCGAAGATAATATTTCATTTAATAATATTTTATATTAATATGCAATTGAACATAGAGCAAAGAGAATCGTTGTCTTTATCTTAATATTGTATTTGCTTCAGGTAGCGGGGTACAAAATGAGTTGGAATATTATTCAAAGGGTGTTTGATTTTCATTTTTCCTAAAATACATTTTTTTCTTTCTTCTTTTTGACCATACATTCTTCATTAAAATATTACACACAAATCAAATTTTTTTTCTTATTTTTTAACTACACATTCTCCATCAATCTACTATTTCAAAATACATTTTTCGATAATAATGGGGCTCAAACACAAGTTCAGTCTCTTCAACTATGGAACTTAAACACTGTTCTATTTTTATTAATCAATCTTTCCAAGTTTTCTTCCTTTAATATTCTTATAGAGCATCAAACCCTGAGAGATAGCTCAGTGGTTAGACCTTGGGTTTGCTTTTCAATGGTCACCAATTCGAGTCCCCTCATGGCTACTGAAGTGAGTATTCGGCTGTAAATTTCAGGGTCCCGTGAGATTAGTCAAGGTGCACATAAGTTGGCCCGCACACCTACTGTCATTAAAAAAAAATCTTATGGAATATCACTTATAAAAAAAAAAAATAATAATAATAAATATATGGCCCCGCTTGGAACTCATTTTTTTCAAAATATATTTTTCTCTCTCTTCTTTTCAACTCCACATTCTTTATTAAAATAATATTACACGTAAATAAAAAACTTTTCCTTATTTTTCAACCACACATTTTCCATCAATTTACTATTTAAAAATGCATTTTTACACAAAAATATCTCCCAAACGCTCTATATATATATATATATATATATATATTATGTCTATTCTTGGTTATGGCACTCATTTTTGCTGTTTAGACCTTCTGATTGATAGTATGTTTAACTGTATGGTGTGCTTATTTGCAACAACTGCTCATTCAATTTTTCGTTTCGTGCAGTCAAACTTAGATTTTAGCCAGTTGAATACATACATGTGCCTGATGCATGAGAATTTTTTTGTGGTATTCATACCTAGTTGATCTGTCCCATGTATTGTTAGAAAACGATTGTTGATAGTTGGATTTGAAGTTGTAACGTGGTAAGTCATAAATACCTCTTGATTTTCTTTAGTGGAAACTGATTGGCTTGGTCAAGTACTTAGGGAAGGGAGTTGCATGTAGGAAGCCATAATAATAGCTGGATGTGCAAGAAACTATATTGCTTAGGTAATTATAATTTAAGTATCATGTATTTGAGTTGGATCAGCATGTCTATGTCAGCCAAAACTACCTGTTTTCACATTTTCAGAAACTTGTTTCCCTAGATATCCCATTTGGAAGCAACTGCAGTAATGTCTTTGATGCATCACCACAGGAATAGACTACAACTCGTTTAACTATTGCCTCATATGTTGTGTTAGTGGATGTGGCCATTAATGGAAAATGCAAATTTTTAATGATTTTCTTGTATCCTAAGAGATGGCCTTATTATTTGGTTCTTGTTTATGCCTTTTAGATATGTACACTCGTCATCCTATGGCCAAGCTCAGAGAGCATTTGAAGCTGCCAAGGCAATACATGATCTTAATGGTATTGCGAGTATTCTATTGTACCATCCTTATCATATAGATTCACTCATCACGTTGGCGGACTATTTCAAATTTCTGGGTGAACATGAAAGGTCTGCTGATGCTATTGCAAAGTGTCTGTATGCTTTGGAATGTGCTTGGCATCCAATGTTTTCTCCTTTGTTGGGCAATTTTCAATTGAAGTACGTCTACGAAACCAACAAACCTTTATTCTCAGCCCTTTTCACTCACATGAAAAACATGGATAGGCGTGGGTGCCACCGATCTGCCCTTGAAGTTTGCAAGCTGTTGCTTTCTCTAGATCTAGATGATCCAATGGGAGCCATTTTCTGTATTGACTACTACTCTTTGAGAGCTGAGGAGTATTCCTGGCTAGAACGCTTTTCTGAAGAATATAAAGGTGGTAATTCGCTATGGTTATTTCCAAATTTCTCTATTTCCCTCGCTGTGTGCCGGTTTTACATTCAAAGTCATGAAGGTTTAAAGGAGAGAAAAATGGATACTGGAAAAGCAGCTGCTTCTGATCTCATGAAGCAGGCTTTAATGCTTCACCCTTCAGTCTTAAAGAAATTGGTAGCGAAGGTTCCATTAAAAGATCCCGCATGGAGCACCATTCTCAAGCATAGTTTCTTCAGGCCAGGGCATACAGGAATTCCGTCCTTGGATCACTTGATTAATATTTATGTTGAAAGGAGTTACATATTATGGAGGCTCCCTGATCTACAAAAGTTTCTTCGGGATTCTGCACTTATGGTGATTGAGACACTGAAAGATAATGGAAGGGAAGCTCTGGATTGGGCTTGTGTAAGAAAAGAAGCTTTCTCATCAGAGAAGAACGAGTGAGTCTTCTGTTGCTAAACACTGTTCTTATTATTGTGCTTTTGCTAGTTTTTGGGCATACTGATGAAGTATAACTGTGTATAATTCTTTGTTCTAGGTACTCTCATTTGCTGGTGTCAGATTTCTCTGATTCCATGCCAACAATGCCACCTGATAACCTACAAAATTTTATGGTTGATCCAAGGGGAGGATTACAGAATAGGGAAGAATTACCCAACCCACCCGACTTGACCAATCGGAATGTGCTGTCTGTTTTATTAGAATCTGTGTTACCATGGACTAATTATGGAAGAGGAGACGGAGATGGTTTCCAGCATGACCACCCTGATCAAGCAGACGAAATCTAGAACACTGGATTTCCGAACCATCTAATGCTAAAAAATAAATAATTATTTCGTCTTTAGATGAGGTTTTAGGTTCCATTTGAAAGCTAGGTGTTATGTGACATCATAAGCTTCGACAACAGTCAGGTGTTTTGCTATTTATGATGTATTTTGAAGACATATGTTAGCGTCAAAGTTTTAATTACTTCAGCTTAAAAACCATATTAAGATCACTTGCCAGCAAAATAAGTAGATTAACCTTTTTTAGTTACAATGTTTGGATAATATTGTATTTATATTTAATTTTTACGGAAATATGTTCCAACAGTCCCCATACTGAACGACTTTTCACACTTGGATCCCCAGTCATTTTTTGGGCATTCAGGTTTCCAAACTTTGATTGATTTTTGGATACAGGGATCCTATTACTAGACATTTTTGTAGACAATTCTTGAACCGTTGACGTTCAGGATGCAAAATGCATTCCTGACCCGCGAAGACAAGGAGGTCCGTCCCGTTGTAGGAACATCTTGAAAGTAATAAAAATAGCAGAAAATTAAAAATATTTTTTTTAATATACTCCTAGTTTACTTGAATCTCTGTTGATTTAAAAAGTTTGTGCAGAACGATAGTAAGAAGCATTAAAAGTGAAATTAGCTGCATCTTGTTTGAAGACAATTCATTGTTCAAACATAGCTAACTAAAGAGCTACAAGTCACGGGCCTAACGAACTGTCCTACCCATATGATATGACAAGATTGCTTATTGTGGGTTCTAAGAAAAATAATTGGAAAGTACATTAGCGGTGTCCCATATGCAAATATGATTGTAAGTTTCCTATTCAAAGTTTATTGTGCTTATTTTATATCTTAGTTTGCCGATCTGTGTGTGAGGGAAGCTGCCTCAAAGGCTGTCGAGAACTCGAGAGGTTGAATTGACAATCCGTTACAATTGGTATCAAAGTAGGTATGCTCTGAACGTTGCATTGTTGTTTGCGGAAGACAAATGCTGTGCATTTCTGCAGAAATGATTTTGGGACCACTAAGGTGAGACAAAGCCACGAGATTCGTGGCGAAGCACAGTTGGCAAGCAAGCAAAATTTATGATGGAAAGCTTTAACGATTATGGAAGTAGAGATGCGTTATGCAATTTGCCCACTAAAACATTTGTTTTGCAAAGCATGACAAAGCATTGCAAAAGAAATCAAAAGTGGGGGCCTTTGTGTGGAATGCTTCGACATGCGCTGTGACGATGCGACTAGAGGAGCTGTCAATTTGAGGAACCAATCCTAGGTACAAAGGGTAAATGTTAGTATTGAAGGTAGCATGTACATGTTACTAGGGAAGAAGGGGAGAGGGTGCCATGACACTCGCACATCAAGGGAATGGTGCCACAATTGTGAAGAATTTTGGTACTCAGTGGCATAGACGAGAATGTAACGACAAAATCTCGCAAAGATGAGAGGCACACGTTCTACTACAAGGCCATCGACGGATTGAGCAGAAGAGTGAGTTACAAGTCTAGTAAACTCCCCTTCCCCTTCCCATGTGAACATCGCGAGTTCAAAGCCAAACTATCAAAAAGGCACCAACATATGCAAAGTGTGATTGCAAGCTTCCTACCTAAAATTTACTGTTTTTATCTTATATCTTAACTTACCGATCAGTGTGTGGGCGACGTTACCTTGAGGACTGTCAGAAACCTGAGGGTCCAACATACAGTCCGTTACATATGGCTAATTGATTATTTGGAAACTTGCAATGCTCTGGCATTTCACAGTAAACCATGCATTAAAGAGAACTTTTTACCATGTTTTTAGGGCTCGATAACTTAACGTGGTATATAAAAAACAATTTGTTAATTTCAAAATCTGAATGACAGTGGTAGACGGTAAGAGAAGGTAAAAATATATCAACGCCTCGTACATAGAAGATAATAACAATTCATCCATAGAAACATTTTACGGGTAAATACAGAATTTTACAATAATCTTGGAAAAAGGTTCAACATCCCCATTACCTTATTTTGCTCATTTAAATACATATTTAAGCACGTGCTTATAGTATGACCATGATCATATTGAGCTTTCAACAGCATGTGGATTGTATGTGCGACGCCTCAACTGAGATTCCTGAGTTGGCTGCTGTAAAAAAATTCTTGTTGGGTCATTCGGATCAACATATCTGCAAAACACATGAAAAAAAATATAATAATAATAACAATAAATAAATAAATAATAATGATAATAAATATAAATCAGACAGATGTAATCCTTGTAATCGTGAAAGATAAATAGGGAAATGGACACATACGCATGTCTCATCATCTCGTCAACAGGAGTTGATGCTGCTTGCAGAGGATCCATTTGAGGCTGTGCTTCCATGCTGGTACGTTGGTTGTATTGTCTAACTGATGAAATTAAGTTGAAAAAAAGTGGGACAAAAGTTCCACAACCACCTTCCTTGAAGAGAATCTTGAAGGAGTGAGTCGAATACAGAGCCCTGTGCTCGTTATCAGGTACGACCTGAAATTGGCAGGATGGAAGTCAGACCTCTCCACTGAAAGTATATAATAGATCTATTCTACTTACAGGGTCAACATGTCCAGCAATATTGTTGCAGTGGAATATCGGCTGGTTGAATTTTTCACCATGAACATAGAGCTGCAGAAATACATCCCAAGTCAGAATCAAAATGGCAATAATTGAGAAGAACCTAAAAGACCAATGTCAAGAGTGTCAAGCATAAATGTAAAATATACTAGGAGGGTAACGACCTCCAGCTCATACCACTATATCACAGGAGAAAAATAAATGGGTGATAAAGCATTATGTGGAAAATATCTAAAAAAAATAAAATAAAATAAAAATAAAAATAAAAAAACCGTAGCAGTAGCAGTAGCAGTAGCAGCAGCATCATCAGCAGTGAGTAGCCAGCTTATGAAATTACAATTAAAAGTCACATATAAATGGCACACTCCATCAAAATGCTAAATCTACTATCAAGAGCACAACTAAGGCTCAAAATAATTTTCTTAAAGACAACTAGAAACACTAAATTTAAGGCCTCATTAGCAAAATTGAATAATGAACAGCATTTTAGCTATAAATCCAACAGTACACAAGTAAATTTTTTGTGCATGATTGATATTTGGGAAATATTTATGCCCTGCAAACACAGTTGTCGAGTTCAGGAAATGATTTTCACTTTCGCGGTTGAAGTACAGAAAATCTTTCCAAGAGTCTATCATATATAACAAAACAGACGGTCATCATTGAATTACCACCATATACTCAATGGAGTCAACTAGACCAGACTGTCCCTAGGGTTTCTAGCTATTTATCAAGCCACTTTGCCATAGTATTGAAGCATATTGTTATGCATCTTCGAGTATTACTCATCCCATCGCTTTTCACCATTCTTAATCAAATAGACACCCAATAAAGTTCACATACACAAGAAGAAGTTAGTGGTCGGTTATCAATTGGGGTTGGGGTGGGTGGGGGTGGGGGTGG